TTGCAACCGTTTTATAGACAATTATATTTCTTGCTACATATTTCTTTCGAAATTCGTTAATTTCTCGGACGACATAAAACATAAAAACTGGATAAGAAAAAAACAAGTAAAAAATAATAAAAAGCAAGAAACAAAAAACAAAAAACACATTGTAGAATATGCTTTAGAGTCGAGACAGCACCGTGTTTCCTGATCGTAATAATCAATTAATTATTTATTTAGTCATGCCGTAAATTCTGTTATAAGAATAAAGAACAGTACAATTTTTTTCGTGACCATTTTATCTGAACATTTTCTTATGTATCTTTCTTCATAGAAATAAAAAATTATATCATAACGATAATGTTACACCAAATGTTACACTTAAAGAGAAATTGATACATTGCAATGAAGTTAATAAAATCTATTGTTAATCCAATTTTGAATGTGTTTTTAAATTGAAGCGTATAACTGACAGCAATTTCAATGATGTGAATAAGCAGGATTTTATTAACTTTATTTCACACACCAATTTTTCCTCGAGTCCTTCTGATAATTTTCATTTTCATAAAGAAAAATACATAAAAATGTAGAAATAAAATAATCCCCGAACGGTTACAAAATGAAAGTTATATCCTCTTTATTTATTAAATAACTAAAATAAAAAATAATTAAAATAAAAAATAGCGTAGCTTCTCATGCAGCACAGATTGTTGCAAAAAACGTTCGAGCCGCAACATAGATTTTTGCACAAGCCATAAGAAAATCAACTATTTAAACCAAATCATAGTCGATTATTTTTTTCATATTCAACTGTAATAAATCAATTCTTCCAACTACAATTACTTACAACTACGCTTATGCAGTTATAAAATGGATTTTGAGCTTAAGTTTTAAGATCTATTCAGATAAACTTGCACAAACATAACCATAAAGTTATATTAGGAATATGCATAAATTTCAGTCTTTGCTTTATTTTCTTTTTACATATAATTTACATATAAGTATTTTTTTCGACCAAATCATTTATTGACAGTTATAGTGTTTGGCATTAACAATTTTCCGATTTAGTAAGGGACCTTTTTCACATCTTTCACATCATATCGGATGCATAAAAGAATCTTCAAAATTACTTTAAAACGACAAAAACAGTATTTACGTGTATTGTGAGACAATATTCTCGTCAAGAACAGAGCAAATAAATTCTCTCTGCTTTAGCAACATTTTTTCCTTGCTGAAACTCATGTCTAAACAAATGTAATGTCTAAACAAATGTAATGTCTAAAAGCTTTCATCATGTTCATTGTTATTTTGTAAGATTATGTGCATAATTAAATTATATTATAAAATATGACATTTCAAGTAATTCGTCAATCTTATATATCATATTATTAAATTATTTGAATTTAAAATAATTATATCAAAACGTTGAAAAAAGAAACTAAAACTGTCTGTAATATTAGGAGAATAATATTATAAAGAATACACATATAGAACTGGATCATTTTCTTTACCATATGTATATATGTGTATCTATAATATAAATTTATGTATCTATAATAGTTAGGACAAAAAAGCTGTATTCATTACGAGGAAATTGAAGGCTATATTGGGTGCTTAGTAATAAATATTGGGCACTTGGTAATAAAAATTATCTCTTTATAGAGGCGCAAACACATAAACGCAGTCCTAAAAAGATATTTCAAAATCATTTTAATATTTTACATTTTAGGAACAATTCTGAAAAAAATTCTGCAATATTTGAAATTGTAACAGAAATGTTTCTGAAATCTTTCACATTTATGTAATTTACGTAATCATGTGCAATCTTTTGAACGTAAAATATATATTATAAAAAATATATATAAGAAAAATTCTATTACTTATATAGGCTAAAATTGATCATTTTATTCAATGTCCTGGACAATTTTGATCAAAGTAATGAAATCTTTCTTATGCATTTTTATTTTCTTTGTAACAGAATTTATGGTATTATATAATTTTATAATGATGTCTATATGCATATTGTACATTCTAATTATTAATCAATTGTAATTCTCCTGCGCGTTTTCTATTTAGCTGGCACGAGATGGGTATATACGATTTGCCGGCTATGATAGATTATATATTGTATCAAACTGGCCAGAAACAGCTGTTCTACGTAGGCTTTTCTCAAGGAACAACACAATTTTGGGTCCTTACGTCCCTCAGGCCAGAATACAATAAGAAAATTAAACTTATGTCCGCTCTAGCTCCTGTGGCTTACACTGGACACATTGGCGGTTTGCTGAGACCTTTAAGTTATTTCGCAGATTATTTTAAGGTAAGTATTAGATAGCTACTTGGGTAGTAATCCATTAAAATATTTTCTGAAATTTCAAGAAAAAATATAAATAACTTATGGAAGTCATTCTTCCAACTTTAATTTATAAATTACACAACATAATTAATTAATTCTATCTGCTACTTTACAAACAAAATTATATCGTCTATACTTATGTAAAATAAAATCTTTACTTATATTTATATACACGCACACACACATACGCACACGCGCGCGTGCACGCACGCAAGCTGAATTTTTTTCATTAAGAAACATTTGCGACATTTGCAAAGTACTTTACAGAGATATGCGAATTATTCGAATACGAATCGAATCAAGTAAGATTTTGGGCTTTTAGCTCATTTAATTAGCTCATTCAATATAAAATATATATACTAAAAATATACATGCACTAGGTCTTGATCAATGAAATTATAAATGTCTAGTGAATTTGCTCACTTTTGTAATTTTCATCTCATTTCAAGATACGCAATCAATTTTCAGATTCGATTCGGATCGGTTCGATTCGTATTCGAAAAAAAAAATTGGATTTGATTCGGAGCCAAAAAATCTTTCATATCTCTAGACTAGTTTTAAAGGATAATTATATAAGGATTTATATTTAAAAAGAAAGTAGATTTTTCTCATAAATCTACTCTGAGTTGATTATACTTGCTCAATTCGACAGGGATTTTACAAATACACTGGATATTTTGAAATGTTCGCGAATACGGAATTAGAGAAATTCATAACGCATATCTTATGCCAAAAAGGCGTTCTCACTCAACCTTTGTGCCAGCTGATTGTGTCCATGATAGGAGGTTTTAGCATCGGAGAGACAGATTACGTAAGCTATCGCCGAAATAACCGTACAAATCGGATCGAGCTAAATGTGACGTGATTCACTTATATGAGATGACATTATTTTCAGGAGCACTTGGAGGATTATCTGCAATTTGCACCAGCGGGATGCTCGTTCAAGCAATTGATTCATTATGCATTGGGTATTCAAAATCCAGGTATCGGGTTTTCGGAATCCGATTTTTTAAATTATGATTTGTGGGATCACGAATTTTTTTTCTTTTAAATACAGAGAATAAACAAAATAATATAAACACTTAGAAAATTACTTGTTTTATTAATAAGAGATCGTCAATAATTTGCCTTTAATATAGATTCTATCCTTGTTGAATAGTTATACAATGCATGAATAGTCACCAATGGAATGTTGTACACGGAAGGAACAATTTTTTTGTTGAAATATTTGAAAGTTTAGCTAAATATAGATCTGAAAATAATTTTGTTGGACCATCCAAATAATTATATAGGACATTCAAACTGGTCGCTTATAATAGAATGTCAAAACGTATTGCGTATCATATTTGAATTTCCTACATAACTATTCCGACAATCCAACAAAATTATTATTTTTAGATCACCCTTTTCTACCCAAGTTTTTAGATTCTTTAACAAAATTATTCTTGTCACATATTGTTCTCTTCTAAACTTTTTCAATGCTTACATACGTAATATCGAAAAAGAAAATTTATCTTTCACTTTTTTTTTCCAAAATTATTTTTTGTTCTTCAAAATTTTAGTTTTTCTTGGCCTAATCTAAATATCATTATGAACAGAATAAGAAAGAGAAAAGGTTAAAATGTAGAATAAGAATTTGAAGAATAGAATAAAAAACAATTTTCCTCTCAATATCTCTTAAGCAGTGTTCTGTTGAATTGGAAAATTCTGTTAGAAGATTGATATTACATTGCACTGATGTGTTCGAGCATTGTACACTTCTATTCCAATATAAGGATAGAATTTATCGATCTGTTTTTTGTGAACACTTTTGGAACTTAAAGTGAAATAAATATGTTTGATATTTGTCGAAAGCAAGAGTTCTAAGTGCAGTCTAGTGCAAGAACAGAAAACAGACCATATATATTAAAGACAAATAGGCCAGTGATATTATAATCTGTTATAATAAAACAAGTGATGTGTATTTCCTAGGTATTCAAATTTTATTTTATCTATCTCCTATACATGCTAACCAGTGCATACCTTCATTTACATCTTCATAACCGAGTCGCTTCTCTTGCAGGACATTTTCGGCCTTACGATTATGGCACGTTACCAAATCTCAAGTTTTATAGGCGATTCGTTCCGCCGGAGTATCCCGTGGAAAAAATCACGGCCCCCGTGATTTTGTATAACGGTTTGAATGATATTTTGGCTGCTCCAAATGTAATTAAATGCATCACTAATTTACCGTTGTATATACAATTGAATGAAAGGAAGATACTCTTGTCTCAATCTTGCATAAAATATCATTAATATTTATCATTAACATTTTATCATTTATAATATTTTAGGATGTTGAGATATTAAACGGAAAATTGCCAAATATTTTGGAAAAATACACGGTGACGCTAAAGAGATTGAATCACTTCGATTTCGTATACGGTTTGCACATACGACAGATCGTTTACGATCATCTTATTGAAAGAATGAATTCCATATCGTAAAGGTAAAACGCAAATTCTTGAAAATTAGTTACAAACGATCCTTGCAAACGATTTGGATTAATTATGGTTTATGCATTTTAGATACCTAATTAACTTGATTAAATGCCTGGTATCCTTTGCAATTTTACATGACTAGGAATTGCTTCAGGGAAGACACAAAAACTAATTCAAACTAATTTTGCATTAATTTTATTTCACGTTCGTCTTTCTCGTAATCGTATAAATTTTGATTACGTGTGCCTTTTTTTAAAAAAGAAAGATAGACTTTTGTACATTAGAGCAAGTAATATTAAACGAGTCTATAACATAAAGCTATTCAGTACCTACTATTTATTACGTAGCATTATGACTTTTAATATACTATCTGAGATAAAAGATTGAGAACGCGTATTCAAAATTGCAACTGTACCACAATGTTGTGTATGTTGACGAACTGAATCATAGTAAAACGTTGAAGTCCAGTAGAAGCCAGTAGAAGATGCTGAAACAAAATAAGATTTCTAGGACTCATGTCGAAATCCCGGCGGATAATTCTACAAGATTATTCATTCGTTATACTTCAGCCTAGTAATATATAATACTCTTTACAAAGTCTACACAAAGCATTCCTTTTTCTTATCAAAATTCAAATATATTTCCACTCGTATACAAATCATACGTTATTGAAGTATTGATACAAATCATACGATATTCATACGTTTATCGAATTCATTTGTATAATTGCTACATTTATTTATATACATGTACATAATTAACATTATAAATGTAACATGATAATTTTGATATATAGTTAATAAAAAGATATTTGTACGCACGATCTTGTTTGGAATAATTTTATACGAAATAGAGAAAGATATTACTGCAAAGTAATTTCTATCAAAATTTTTATTTGCAGCAATATATCGAATAAAATACATTGTAGCAATATTTTCCTTTTGTGTGCAAAATTATTCTGAAAATAACGAAGTATACGAATTTATTATTTCCTATTTATCACTTCCTGTAAATAAGAATCCTGAATACTATCGATATAACATTTATTTATTAATACAAAAGTAGTCTTCACTGTATAAAGATGCGCGTATTTTTACAAATTGCGAGTCTCATAATTCCGATGTCTAAAAAGATAGTTAAACAATTAAATCATAGTCTCGTTTTAAATTGCTATATTTTCGCGTGAAATAACTATACTTTATTAATCAACAAATAATTATTTAGTAATTACATTTTGTGTGAGTGAGATATTCTTTTTTAACGTTCTGAATAAAAAAATCATGTTATTCATTTAAATTATATGTTATACTTTACTCATCTCATTCTAAGATTTATATCCTAATAGATTCTCTCAAAGAACCAATACTTCATTTTTTCATCGACAGTGAAATAATTGCCTAATAACTATACACAAATTTTTTGACATTGCATCTTGTTATATATGAATTATGTGAAATTATTAAGAAAAAATAGAAAATGCGTGCTAGTTAACAAAACTTATTTAAAGATGTAATATCAATAAATACGTATGTAATTTTTAAACAACATAAATTTCATATTAATAAAATATCTACTATCTGAGAGAAAGATTTTCCAAGGAAATTCGAATATTCTGAAAATCTTCAATGAATAGGAATGCACAATTAATGTTTATTAATTTTGAATGCCTAACAAATCTTGAATCATTTTAATCCTCGGTACCTATAATGGAACATGTCGAATAAGTTTCGATCGGAATTATTTCGTTTTCCCTAGAAAACACAATAGAAATGTAGGGAATAATTGAATAATTCCGATCGGAATCCATTCCGACTTGTTCCGTAATAGGTGCCCTCATTTTATTTCTTATATTATAACTAAATCTAATAACAAACTTTTATCGTAACATATCTACAGAAAATCTACAAAGTTATCAAGTAACTTTATTGCATATAATACTTATATCATTATATGACTCAAAACAAAGATTGAGCAAAACTTTTACTGCTTTTTTATTGCATAATGATAAATTATGTTCTTTATATGTAGCTCAACTTTTCCAACACAAACTTCAATCAATATAAAACTATATAATGAAAAAACGAAAATATATAACGTCTATTGCACTCTATAATCATCTCACGTGTGCATGTGCTGGGCTACATTCAGAATCATCATCTGAGTGCTCCCAAATGTTGTTTTATCTTTGTTTATGCGGTAAACAAGGCAGAAACGACATTTGCACTTGCATGATGATTCAGAACTCGGTCCAGTTATAAGAAAATATTTAATATATCCAAGTAGCAAAGAGCAAATAAAAAATAAATTCCTTGTTAAGCATCTCATCAGATTTCTACATCGCGTTAAAACGGTGTCATTTATATATAATGTATATTTTTCAATTATTGCATCAGATAACATATACTATAATAAATTGACAGCCGAATGAGAGCTGTAACATAAAAAAAGCAAGAGAAAGACTCTAGAAACGATCTTTGATTAGACTATGTAACAAGCCGCGAACTCTTGTTAAGAATAATATAATATCACTGCTTTTTTCATATCGTTCTGTTAAAAGGTACAATCAGAATGAATATACAACCTTGGCTAGGAGCGGATCCTGACCTCAATTCCTGTATCGATGTGATGACTTCTTACCATCACGATAGCTCGACTTGGACCGTGACTTTCTACTTCGGTCTCGCGATCTGGATCGACTGCCCCGCCGTTGGCTTCTCCCGGAAACATAGGATCTTGATCGTCTGTGATCCCGCGAGCGGCTGCGCGTTCTCGAGCGCGATCTTCCGCGTTTCGCTCCGCGTGACTTGCTGCGCGATCGACTACCTCGTCGCCTTTCTCTGGAATGTGAGCGCGATTTCCATCTACGAGAGTGCGACCGCGAAGACCACTTTCTGTCGGTGGACGTCGATCTAGAGCGACGATAGCTGCGCGAACGTGATCTCACACGTTTCCTATCGCGTGATCGCGTGCGACGCTTTCTGCTGTGATCTCTGGACCTGTGATTGCTGGAGGATCGCGAGCGATAATCCTTCCGTGATTTCGCTGATCTCGAACGCGACCGGCGCTTGTGGCTACCACCACCACTACCACCACCACCACTACCACCACCGCCGCTGCCGCTGCCGCCGCCGC